TTATATGCCGTTGAGTCAGCCCTGACTCATAGCGACCCCTCCTTGGGTTTCCAAGGCAGTATCACTACGGAAGTAGGATTGCCCAACCTTCCTTCCGAGGAGTGGCTGGTGGGTTTGAACCGCCAGCCTTCTGGTTAGCAGTCAAGTGCCTTAGGCACTATGCTACCAGAGCTCCTCATTTCCTTCTTAGAATACAGAAATACTTAGACCTTTCTTTCCACTGGAGCCCTAGGTGGTGTAAACAGTTAATGTACTCGTTCAGTCAAAGGTCGGCCGTTTGAGTTCACCTCAGGGCACTTCAGAAGGCAGGCTTGGGGATCCACTTAGAAAATCCAGCCACTGAAAGCCGTACAGAGCACAGTCTACTGACACACATAGTGTCTCTATGAATCAGAATCACTCAGTGGCAGCTGGGCACTGATTGGTTCTTTCCATGGGCATTTTACCTTTTACCCTAAAATCTCCATGGGAGAATGTTGAGAATGTAGTTAGTTAACAGAGGCAAGGGGCTCTTCTGAGAAGGGGTGCTCCCTTTCAGAGAAAATCCTCAGCAGTAGCACCGCACTGTTTCGTGTCCTTCCAGGAGTGGGAACACACCTCCGTCCAGAGCTTCAGCTGTGGAGTGCAGAGGAGCACACCCTCTTCCGCGTGTCCTACAGGCACGCGGGTACCCTTCTGAGACAGCACTTTGTAAGAGAAAAGTAGTACCCCATCTAGCATTATTTGTCAGAATTTTTGAAGAACCCAAGTTTTCTGGGGAAAGAAAGCTTTAAAACATTAAAGATGTTGGTGACATTTAGAGACACAACTAGGCATCTCCTTGAAAGTGTCTGCCTTTGACTAAAAGTGAAAGCTGTAACTGAGTCTTGGGAACGGAGAGCCATCCAATTGTACTTCATCAGATCATCCTTCATCATACTGGGGGTTAGGAAGTTCCAACTCCATCTATGGACCCAACAGCAGTGACCTGAAAGTGATATAGTCTATCATGTGAATGGGGAAATTAAAAAAAAAAAAAGTATTTAAAAAGAAAAATATAAATGACTATCTATTGCCTTTTTTCATTTCTCTGAAGTCCCTGGGTGGCTCAAGCAGTTAACGTGATTGGCTCCTGACTGAAAGGCTTGAGGTTTGAGTCCACCTAGAGGTGGACCAAGCTCGTTGTCATGGAGTGGGATCCAACTCATAGTGACCCCCTCCTTGGGTTTCTGAGGCAGTTTCACTATGGAAATACATTGCCCAACCTTCCTTTCGAGGAGTGGCTTGTGGGTTTGAACCACCAGCCTCCTGGTTAGCAGTCAAGTGCCTTAGGCATTGTGCCGCCAGAGCTCCTTTCTTATGGAACTAGGCATTATAAACCCACCAGCTGATCCACAAGAGGAAGATGGGGCAATCTACTTCCAGAAAGATGTACCACACTGGAAACCCAATGGAAGTTGCTGTGACTTGTAATGAACTCGATGGCAGTGAGTTTTAAGTCTGAGGCATTTTAAAAATAATGAGCAGAATTTAATTGAGGCAAGACAAGAACAGCAGCAACTGAGTAAAAGAAAAGTGCTTCAAAGTCTTAAGTTAGAAAAACCTCTCAAATAACTAAAAATGTTTCTGGGTACCAGAGCCCTGAGGGTTCCTCGGATAAAGGAATGACAAGAAACTGCTCCTCTGTAAAGACAATGTGTTCTAATTGCATGCATAATTCATCAGCACACACGTCGTTTATCTAAGATTGCTGTAGCTTGGCACAGTCCCACATAAACTGGAACAAAAACAGTAAGAGTACATAATTGTTTCTATTTGCCACCAAAATTAACTGCCAGAGAAGATCATCTAGTATCTGTATTAATCCACCATTAGGAGAAAAAATTCCCACCTTTCGTTCTGTTTAACTTTTTTCTATTATTCATCCCCAAATAAAAGTTGAATCATACTGTACTAGAGCCAGAAAACTGTCTGTCATTGCTGTATCTGCCAAAGGATGACAATCACCTACCAAACTACAAGGCAACTTCCTGACTTCTGCTTTCCAATAGCAAAATGCATGACTTGCAACTCGTTTCATCCTACACTGAATCAGGCAATTCTGGGAAGAGAAAATGTATTTTTTAACTTAATTCTGTCACCGAATGATGCAGGTGGTTAATAAACATGACCCAAGCACTTTGGGCCAACTGTGTGAAACTAGCATGTTCTGGGTGTGGGGCAGGAGTTGCAACAGATACAAGGGAGAGACTAGCTTTCCAGGTAGGACCTGATTCTGAGTTGAAGCCTTTTCACAAATTTTCTATTTGAATGACCACATGACCATTACTTCTACTCTATATTCATAACAAATGACCAGGAGAAAATAACTGGTTTATTACAAAGTGCCAAATGCTGGGGTTAAAAAAAAAATAGCCCATTTGAATTAGAATATGGTCCAGCTGGTAGATGTTACATTGAAGGAAGGTGTTAATTAGCAAGGAATGAGTTAAAGCAAAGTTCCATTAGCAAAACCCTTTCAATATTGTCAACGTTTTGCTGGTTAGAATTTAGTTTCTTTAGATAGAATTTTACAGCTTGAGGGGACTTCAGAAATCATCTAGCCCACCTCATTTTACAGGTGTGTAACTTGAAGCTAGAGAAGGTGAAGGTAGGGAAGCAGTTTTCGTTTGGGTTAAAGTACCCTCTGGTAGAAAAAAGTAACATCACCCAGGCAGGAAACGACTCATGGTAGTACCTAAAGTACAGTAAGGCTTTTAATAGAAATTAAACCAGGAAGCTTTTAATATTTCCTTTTTACAGGGAGGAGCTGAAAGTTTTGTAGCAACATTTTTTTAAGGAAATCCATCTGTACCTAACAGATTCAAAGATACTTGTTTGCTGCTAGTAAGTCGTGGCAACCCCTTGGCTGCCCGTGTAGAACTGCTCCCAGGGGCCTTCAAGGCTGTCACCTTTTGGAAGCAGCTTACCAGGCTTGTGTTCTGAATGGTTTCAAACTGCCAACCTCTCAGCTAGTAGTCAGACGCTTAACTTTTGTGCCACCCAAGGATTCTTTTTTTCTTTGATAATAGTATGCATGTTTATTATAGAAAACGTAAAAAAAAAAAAGAAACAAAAAAATTAGTCATCATAAACTCTGTAATCCAGGATAATCACAATTAATAGTTTAATATATTTCTTTCAGGCCTTCTGTATGCACATCCAAAAATAACTGCCATCTGCCTTCTACACGAAAGCGGAGATCATTTATTCACTGAAGGACAATCACAGGAGCAGCAGTGCGGGTGGCCGTGCAGTGATTTTCAGGAGCCAGTTGGAAGATCATAGCTAAGGGACACAAACTGCCAGGACATACACACTGGCACCCAGTGGCACGGGAGGTGGCACAAACCTTCATTTTCACTCTATAACACACACCCACAGCACAGAAGCCTAAATGTGGGTGGGGATGGAGAGAGAAGGTAACGGGGCAGGTCAAGGCAGTATTGCTGGGTTTGCCTGGAACCTGAGACCAGAATCCTCTCCAGAGCCAAGGTCTCTCAGGTTCCTCCTGACAGGAAGGCTGATCCTGAACGCTGGTGGGGGGGCTGTGACGGGGCCTCTCTCAAGACACAATGAGGTCTCTACACAGACAACTTTAAATGATCTGTGAAAAGCCGTGGCTGGGTCTTCTTAGAATCTTCGGAAGGGCCGGTACTGGTTGTGAGACTCCCTGAGAACCAGATTTCACCAAAATATTTAATACCCGTCAGTCTTTCACACACACACACAATGATGCAAAAATCCTCTCTCCCAGTTAGGGACGTTCCACAGGCACCTCCTGAGAGCCGGCCGTGGATTGCTGCACTAAAGCGACCTCCACAAGCTAAGCTGCACTGGGGACACTATGGCTCTGGTCTTCATCTGGCGACCTCTCAGGTACCTCCAATGACCTCCCAAGTATTAAGAAATTCTGTTCTTAGGAAATCAATCTTGTTCCACTTAATTGAAACTGAACTAAAAGGTGTTTAAAGAGCTGAAAATTTCTGCTTCATATAGCTTCCGTCACCAGTGAGATGCCACATCAGTTGACTACTTTATATGTAGCCAGCTGTGTGTGTGCTCCTCATTTTATATGCATTATGTAACAGAAAACCTATGCAGCAGAAGAGAACTCACCCTGCACCGAGTAGGCAAACAGGGATATAGAGCCCAGCCACGAGCAGCTGGGAGCCACATGCTTCTCAGCATTCTTAAACTGTGAAGAAGATGCTACTTCATGGCCTCAAGGAAATATAGCAAGGCAGAATCAAACACTTAAACAAGTATTATTCAACAGACAGCATGTTCACACTAAGGAAGGAGGGTTATATTTAGGGTTTAAACTAGTCCTTGAACATCCTTACTAACTCCCTGAGGAAAACACAGGGAGATGAGAACTTAAGCTTCCCAAGGATTATGGCTCAAATCCTTACAAATCTACAGGGAGTCAACTAAAATGAGAACTCAACAGTAATAACTCTTTTTCCTGGCACCAGCATAAGGCAGTAGTGATTCTCAAGTTTAATATATTACATATATTATACACCATATATCTATATGTATATAGTATATAATATACATATAATATATGTACATATATACTATAAAAATAGGAGTGAAGTTGTAAGGGAAGTCCATATGATTTTAGAAGGAAGATGGTTTAAGCTTTAGTACTCCGACTCTGGGCTTTTTGGCAATAAAACCCACTGGACATAAAGCCCAAGAAAGTACAACAAAGAGGTATACTAATTATCAAAATAGCTGCAATACTCCATTGGCACTTCAGGGGTAACATTTCTGAAAACCATGGAACACGTAGGTGCCCGAGAAAAAACTGTTTCAGAGTTTGTAACAGGAGGAAGTGGAGACCTCCCTCAAAACATTCACTGGTGGATATGACGTCTTTCCCACTCTTTTTCTGTTTGTGCCTCACCCCTGAGACCAGGGCAAGGAAAGGCACTGCTTTCTGCAGAGTCTTTCTCTTACATAAATGAGGGGTGCTATACCCCCGTGTCAGTACTTCGTGGCTGAAAGCCTTCCCTCCGAAGGCTGCCCATGTCGAATCGTGTGGAGACCTCACAGCGCACCAGTAATGTATCATCCTTAATGAAGGTTCTTTGTTTTAGGGCTTCCAGGTGCATAAAAGTCACATAGCCAAAACCCTTTGGGTTCCGTGGGATTGTGGGTCGCTGGAAGGCAAGCAGCTCTGGTTTGGCATCCATGATCTCTTCATGGTTTTGCCTGATGGGTGTTTCAGACTGATCTAGAATTGTAAGGCGTATTGTACCCTGGAAGGGCCAAGGCAGGTGGCTGTCATACTCTCCCTGCATTGTGTGGACAAAGAGGGAGATATAGTTTGCGCAGCGCTGGGCAGTTGGCAGCTGAAGGTGCAGGCGCATGCAGAGTTTGTAACCAGGCTTGCCAGTGTAGAATCCGGGGCTGTGAATGACAACAGGTTTCTCCTCCTCTTGGGATTTCAAGTGCATGCCAAAGTTGACAATCTTCCAGATGTAAATCCCATTGCACTGCTGAGCTTCTACTTCAGCAACTTTTTCTTCAAGGGTTCGAATAGTTCGTTTGAGCTCATTTACGTACATGCTCTGAGTTTCCATTTTAGCAGTCAGCTCCCGGATTTGATGATCTTGTCTTACAAGGCGACCCTCTAATTGTTGAATGGTTTCTTGGAAATTCTGGACCTCAGGATGACACCCAGAAGACATTCGGGACAGAGAGGCAGGATCATATGGAAGCATATCACACTGAGGCACGGGAGGGAAAGCAAGGCTCAGATTCTGAACAGCCTGGGCCAACATTCTCATGTGTGACTGGGTATTCTCTTGCAGGTGGCGTGCCAAGTGATTCCTCTGCATCTACAAATCAAGCACAAGCCTTAGGTTGGGAATAGATACTGTGAAGACTAGGAGAGGGATCAGTCCAGACCAAACAAAGGGTCTTCAAATAATGGCACCACTTCCCTCAATCTTCCACACCCTTCTTTTGCCCTCATCAGATTCTCACTATAATGAGATGATCTTGCTTCTTAATTCACTGAAAAACGGAAGCAAGCTGATGACTATTCTCTCAGCTTTCACTCAGATAACACCTCCTACACACACCTACAAAAGTATCAGTATCTATCCCCATCTTCTCTTCTGACTGAGGTAACTCTCCTCTTGTCCAGGACTGATATGTTACCTGTGCTCTAAATGGAACTCATGTCTTACAATATTTAAGATTTTACTAAACCTGTGGCCACTGAATTGATTCCGACCTTCCTCTGGTCAACACCATTTCCCCTTTTATGGCCAAGAGTAGTCTGCCTGCACTGTCCCTGATTCCTCATTTATTGCACAAATCTACCGCAAACTGGCATCTTTGCTGACTCCACAAATTCTAAGGTCATCAATAGCCTCTTGTTATATAAGCACATAAAACAGCAGCGTATTTTATGCAAATGACACATGAGCTACACAGGTTTGATAAACACAAAACCTCTGCACGTTAGTTTCCTATGTGCACTATACATGTGCACACTATGTATGTGGTGTGTTATTTGTCAGAAAAATATGGTATGCATGATTTAATAGTTTTATTATACAAGTAACTCAAGTATATAATAGAAAAACAGAAAAGAGAGAGATAAAAAACAAATGAGTTACTACTTCTTGAAACTGTGGCTGAGATCATGCAAAGTGAGTATATACAGGAAAGAGAACTAAACCAAGAAAAGCAGTCATGCATGGACAGTATTAGAAACATTTAAACCAGGCAAAAAGAAAGTACTGTCAAGGTCTCCAAAATTCTTTCAAGATTGGTGACTGTTAGTATCAAACGTATCTCATTAACATTAACATTTTGATATATTTCCTTCAAGTCTATTTCTATGCACACACAATTTTCCCACAAAATGTAACATCACTTTACTTAAATTATTAAATGCATGCTTATTGTGAAGCCATAAAAAATATAATGAAAAAATTACTGAAAGTACAACCACACTCTCCAGATAAATGACTTACAATGATAAATCACAGACATCTGAAAGTAACAATCACTAGTCTTGAAACAGTTTCAGAGACCTTGTGACAATACTTTCTCCTTGCCTGATTTAAATGTTTCTAATACTGTCCATGCATGGCTCCTTTTCATTGGTCTAGTTCTCCTTCCTAGATATACTCACTCTACATGATCTCAAGCTTCAATGATCTCCATGAGTTTACTTTGAGTTCCAACTTCAGTTGCGGGTATAAGAGCACATATATGGTGCACGCCAGCCATCTCCACCTGAACATTCCACAGCCAGGGAACTCGCACCTGCAACTCAACTCACTATTTTCCACTTACACCTCCAACCAGTTCCTCTTCCAGGAATCAAGAGTCATTCTGGATACTTCCTTCTCCTTCGGCCATCTTACCTATGTAGTCGCACGGTCCCCTTCTACAAAGGCACTGACTTACTTATTTGGTGAGTAAGAAGCCTCGAGCTTCACTGTCATCATCATAACTCATACTGTGCTCATTTGCAGCCACAGTAGCACCAACGCTCCCTCTTATCTTCCACAGTGCTGGCAGGGTGAGCAAGATAAACAAACTGCTTGTAGTTGCTCAATCAGCAATGCTTTCTCTCTTGCTACCTTCCCTGCTTGTCTTCTTGGACAACTCTTTTTCACTGTCATTCAGCCCAAATGTCCTGCTTTGTCCAGTACGCCCACCTGCTTTAGGAACTGCTAAGTGTGCCTCTGCTTCTGTTCACAGCATCCTACCCAACTCGATTACATAACCTATCATGCTGTTTTATAAGTATCTCCATTCCTGCTAATATTCTCCATTAGACTAAATAACAGAATACTCTTGATCCATTTTGAGAATTAAAAGAAAAACCCCTTACCTTTTCATGGCAACCGAAAGTACTGAATGCACATGGAATTGGGGCCGTAGGACAGTCTAGGTCATAATGGTTAGGCATCTGAAAACCGAAACAAAGGTTGAAAAATGCTTCCACCTGCATATCATGTTCTAGTTTGATGAGCTCATACTAAAAGAAAACTTTACATTTCCTTTACACTATTGGGTAAACACACATACTATCTATAGCTGCGTTTGTGCCACAACAGCAAAGCTGACTGTGACAGAAACCATATACCTCATGAAGACTAAAATATTTACTTTCAAATGTTACAGAGAAAGGAAATGTCAACATCACATAGCATCCCCTCCAATTATCACTGCTCAAAACTCATTTCAAGAAAATCAATTTGTTCCTATGGCTGAGAACTGCCGCCCTCTAGTGGCATTTTAGAGAAAAAGCACCTTTGACAGCAATCGCAAAGGGGACTGGGACCCTGACTGTGTTGAAAGCTGTTTACTAAGAGTGTGTGTCAGCTGCATACCCTGAGGTCACTGACTGCACTCTTACTCCCCTCATGACCGCCTTTCACAAATGTTCTTACTTATTTGGTACCTTAGGCATGACTGGGCTACACTGGGGAGGCTCAGATATTACAAGGCACTGCGGCTTCTACAGATTACAATGTACTCGCAAGCACATTAATAAAAGCTCTAAAGCCAAGTCTCAGGCTTTGATTTAGGGAATGTAAAATGTATTCTTCTAAGGTGAGTGAGACTCATTACACAGAATCATGTTCTTGGAAAGTGATGCCAAAATCCCTTTAGAAATTTAGTTTGGCAACAGTCAGAAATTTCAAGCAGAAATGACCTTAGAGACTATTTAATCTAATTCTACAAGAGGAAACTGATAATCTACAACAGGGGACAGCAAAACTCTTTTGTAAAGGATCACACAGTAGACATTTCCCACTTTCTGGACCATACAGTCATTGTCCCGAGTGCTCAAGTCTACCACTGGGGTGCAGAAGCAGCTACGAGTAATACATAAGTACATGGCCATGGCTGTGTTCTAATTAATCTTTCCAAAAAAAGTTTTTACGTGAAATTCAGATAACACAAAATGAGCTACTTTAAAATGAACAATTTAGTGGCATTTAGTACATTCACAATGTTGTGCAATTATCGTAGTTCCAGAGCATTCCCATGAGCCCACAGTAAATCCTTCACCCACGAAACAGTTTCTCCCCACTCTTCCCAACTCCAGTGCCTGGCAACCAGCAATCTGCTCTGTCTGTAAGGATTTGTATATTCTGGATAGTTCATATAAATGAAATGATACAGTATGTGACCTTTTGTGTCTCGCTCCTTTCACTAAGCATACTGTTTTGGAGGTACATCCACGTTGTAGCATACATCAGAACTTCATTTCTTTCCATGGCTGAATAATATTCCGCTGTATATATACCATTACTTATTTATCCATTCTTCTGCTGATGAGACATTTGGGCCATTTCTGCCTTGGCTGTTGTGAACAGTGCTGCTGTGAACATGCATGTACATGTACTGGAGTCCCTGCTTTCAACTCATTTAGTGGTGTACCTAGGGCTGGAAATGTGGTTCCAATACAATTTTATTTATAAAAACCAGTGGCAGCCTGGAGTTGGGTAGTGGGCCACAGTTTGCTGATTATTGATCTAGAATATCGATTCTTTCTAGAGATCAGAGAGCAACTTAGTGGTGTGGCCAGGATCAAGACCTAGGCCTTCCGACTCTAAGCCTAGAGTTTTGCCTACATCTTGTTTTTGTCAGGTTTTAAATGTGCTGCATGTTTCCCTTCAATATGAAAACAGAGTAAAGAGGAAAAGTGAGGAGGTGAGACTTCATAAAGAAAAAGCTGAACACCTTCAAACGAAGGTTCTGTCTGCTGGAAAAAAAACTAAGGGACTCCAACAGACAAATGGAAAAGTTTAGTTGAGCGACAGGTTTTGCTTGCTTCTACTTATTAAGGTAATTAATAATGATCTCTGGGTTTGCAAATTTCGTGGCGTATAAATATTTAGTGACTAATTTTCAAATTTTATGGGTGAACTTCCTAAATGTCAGAAGATAGCAATCAGATGGAATTTTCCTTTCTCTATTAATAATCAAAGGAGCCCTGGTGGCACAATGCTTAAGTGCTCACCTGTCAACCTAAAGGTCAGTTGTTCAAACTCACCAGCTGCTCTGTGAGAGAAAGATGAGGCTGTCTGCTTCTGTAAAAATTTACAGCTTTGGAAACACTGTGGGCCAGGCGACTCTGTTCTACAGGGTGGCTATGAGTTGGAATTTGACTCAACAGCATTGGGTTTGGGCTTTGATATTAATAATGGAAACACACATAGCTGCTATTATGCTATTTGTGATGATGCCTGACCAGTGGCTTATAGGATAGCTGAACAAGAGGGTCTACAGACCCGAGAACTCTGAAAACCTCCCAGCATACCTCAGCAGATACTAGGAATGTATGACTACTACATAGACTTGTTTTCATCTATTTCATTGCTACTCTTCAACTAGCATCTGGACACCTATGATCCTCATTTCACAGTACGTAAGTAACTACTTTCTAAAGTTTTTCTTTCTTTAAATGGAAACCCTTACTTTCAATCATTTTCATCTTAACTCTACCCACTGCCGTCAAGTTGATTCCAACTCATAGCAACCCTTTTGGAGGGAGCAGAACTGCCGCACAGGGTTTCCAAGGTTATACATCTTTGTAGACGCAGACTACCTCATCTTTCTCCTACAGAGTAGCTAGTGGGTTTGAACCACCATCTTTTGGTTAGCAGTGGAATGGTATAACCACTATGCCACCAGAGTTTATTTTCTTTTTCTTTTTTAATTTTTTTTTTATTATTGTGATTTGGGTGAAGATTTACAGAGCAAATTCACTTTCCATATAGCAGTTTACATATACTTTGTCTCCTGACATTGGCCACAGTTTACCACAATGCAACAGCTCCCCTCCTACTTCCTCCCCGTAGTTACCTCTTCCCAGTGTCCATCCCTCCATACACTCCTGCCCCCTGAGCTGTCTCTCTGTGCATAAGCAGCCTTTCTTTCTCAATGATTGTTCTCTCCAAGGAGTGTATCTACCTCAGGTAAATGTTCAACTCATATGCCTGTCTTCTGTTTGGCTGGAAGCCACAGGTGTGGGTTCAATTCCAGACCTGAAGGGCAGCTAGAGGCCATAGTCTCAGTGGTTCCACCAGACTCTATCAGACCAGCAAACCTGGTCCCCCCCCCACTTTTTTTTTCTTCAAATGGTTTTGAGTTTTTTTCTGCATTGCTGTCCCTCTCTATCAAGGATCTCCTACATAGATCTCCTTCCAAGTGGATGACAGTGGTAGTCGGGCACCATCTAGTTCTTCTGGTCTCATAGTCGTATAGGCTGCAGATCGGATGGTGTACCAGTCACTAGGACTAATTATTTCCATGAATTTTGGTTTTCTTCATTCTTCTTTGCTGTGGACGA